GCAAGAAAACACGGTCAACAGAGCCAAGGATGAACGGCCCAATAGAAAAAATTATCTTAACCCAACAGAAAAGTGCATATTTATTTATCGCACAAAGAAAGCGTACAGTCTTACCAGGATAAAATAATCAGAAAAACAGATAAAGAATATGAATAAATGTTTCATAAAGAAAACATGAAAGGCAAAAATTACTCGGAAAAAATGCTCAATTTCATTAGTGCTTAGAAAAATGCAATTCATGACAGCATGCTAAAATTTTTTCTATGAGAAAAAGTTTAAAGTTTGATAAAATCTAATTTTAGCAAAGTTATAGTGGAACATACACAGTAGATGGAAATGTGAATTGGAACAACTTCATTGGGGTTACAATTTGGGAACAACTAACCCAACTTTAAATATGCTTACATTATAATCCAGAATTTCATAGAAAGGAATTTATCCTGCAAAGTCATACAAGTTACCAATGATATGTATATAAAGATATTCATAGAAACAATATTTATAATAATGGTATAAGTGTAAAAATTAAATATTCATGGATTGGGGTGATGGTTAAATAAATTCATGGCATATCCAATGATTCAAAGATCTATATGTGCTGACATGGAAATATTTTTGATACATTATCAAGTGAATAAAGTACAGGGCACATATTATACAATATGCTTTGTGCTAAAATCCTGTATATATTATATATCCTTCCATGGAAAAAATAGACAAGAAATAGTTATCAGTGCTTACCCTATGATAAAAGTGGGAAGGAAATTTTTTCCCCTTCCATTTTAAACCATTTTTGAAGTTTTGGTTTATTTTTATTAAGATCATGCCTTACTTTTCCAGTTAAAAATATACAGATTGTGCTTTATAAACAACTTTTAAAATGTCAATCAGTGTCCCTTTCTGATAAGTTTGTAGGAAACATTTTCATTACGGTAACAAGATAAGGATGCGTGGGGGTTAACTTGCTTTTAGCTGAAGATGCAAATATGTAAATGATAGGAGCCACTGCAACTAGGAGTATAATTTTCAGACTCTCAAACCTAGGAAGGTCACATCGGTGCAGTTAGCAAGCTCCTTTAGGTCATGACCCTTATGTGGCTCAGGCCCAGCTTTCAGCAAGACTCCTATTTGGAAAGCCAAAGTGGTCCAGCAAGGAAAAGTAATGTGATAGACATTTTCTTTCCGCTTCTCTTTCTTTCCCTCTCTTTAGAGTTTCTTTAGGAACATAAAATTAAATATATAACCAGGATTCAAAGATACTGAGCTATGGGAAATTTTTGCAAAGGTATTTCACAAATACACAATGTCCATGCCTGACTGCTCCTCCTTAAAGGTATTCATCGGAGAGAACAGCCTCTATCAGGGGAACATTTTTTTGTTCTCAGTGAAGTGGCACATTCAGTTCCTGGTGCAGGCTCCCTTAATTCCTATTAGTCATTTCACAGCTGTATCTTGGGAAGAGAAAATCTCAAATACTTTTGGCTGATTTCACAAGTAAACTAAAAACAAGGCCTTCACAGTTCCCGTTTGTTTACAATTTTCAAGTCAATAAAACATGTCTGTCTTGGTGGCTGTTTCTCCTGAAGATTTTTAGTTGTGTGCTGATCTACCTACCTGCCTTCCACTGTCCCCGTGTACCTAGGTTTGCTGCCATCATGTTGCAGGTGGATGCTAGGCCACCCACCCTAGTTTGTAATTAAATTGATGATGCAATTTTTGTTTGGCGATTTATGACTCTAAGGTTATTCAGGGACACTGTTTAGAAACATAGGTCAACTACCAAGTGAGACATCAGATCTGATCATAGTTTGCTATTTTTTCGGTTGTTTAGGGACATTAGATGAATGTACAAATCTGTTATTGTAGCGTTGCTATGAATACTGAAGATGCACATACGGGGATCATTATTGTAGATTGGTTTGTGACAGCTGGCCCTGATTTAGTTATTTCCTCAAGAAGACACTTTGAACAATTATTGAAATGCCTCCCCTCTGTAATTACAATAATAATGATGATGATTTTGCAACTGAATATGCAATTCAGGGTGTATGCACTCAACTACTGTTTTTAGCTTGTTGCTCTTTCTACATTGATGTCAGCTGCTGCTGTCAGAATTATTGGAGAACAGAGAATCATTTTTCTATTGAGGGTCAATGAACTACATGAAAAAAGTAACCTAGGGCCAATATAGGAAGTTATTAAAATAATTATTATAGGGCTGGAAATGTGGCTCAGTGGTAGATTGCTTGCCTAGCCTGTGTGAGGCTATGGGTTCTACTCCCAGTACTGGAAAAAAAAAATACACACACACACACACACATTATGGTTTGTATTTTATGAGCATTTTTTATCTCTTTGATGAGTGAAATACATTGTCAGTACTTATCTGCTTTTAAAATTAACAAAATAGCTTAATAATTATAAATATCTGCCAAGGCCTTTTTTCTGTGTTAATTAAGGAGCTGTAAGGGAAAGATGATAAAATAGAGAAGAAAGTTGTGTGCTGTGGGAAGAGAATAGAGAGTAAAAGAAACCGAGACAGATACAGAAAGAACAGGGAGGCCCAGATAGCAGTGGAGGATGAACCAGGAGTGAGAGGAAGGACACAGAAGGACAGTGATGAGCCTCCAGAGCAGGTGAAGGAGACAGCCGGGTAGGAAGAGATGGGGGAGGAGAAAGATGGGTACAGAGGAGGAGAGGGAAAAGACAGAGACGCATGGAGGATTTCTTTTTTTAAGTACTTGTTTGCTTTGAAGACCGTGTGGGATCCCTGGAGCATGGCGATTGTTCTCTCTGAAACACGATGAACTCCTGTTCACAACCCTTTATGTCACTGTAGAGCTGGTGAATGAGGCGGAAAAGTCGACATGGACACCTTTGAAAGTGATGTCCAAGCTGGACATCCTGGTTTCCTGATGCTGGCTCCTTGGGAGAAACTGATAATGGAAGAATCCTGATGGAAGAAGCAACTAGCAGCTTCCTGTCTGCTCATTCTAAGGCAGGAAGATTCTCAGCCTTGGCTGTACATGGAAGTATTTAGAGGATGTTCAAAACAATACATCAAGGCCTAAGCCCTACCTCTAATATGAAATTGGTTTGGGGTGTGATGTGGGAGTTGATTCCAATGCTGGGCTAAGAGTGAGAACTGTTACTTCCGGGCTTCACTATTGAATGTGCTCTCCAGAGAATTCCATTATAATGCTGGCTAGTTTTTGGCCTATGAATGCAGTAACCCAAATATTAAGTTGGATAAAATTAAGCCAAAGGTCAGAGCTTCTCAAACTTTGTGCTATGTATTTAGTAACTGCCTTGCTATTAATTGGTTGTGTAGCTGGGAAGAATGGGACATTTAGAACTTATTCGAAAATGTACACGTAGAAAATAAATTAAAATTATCAACATGATAAAAAAGCCCTCTATAAAAATTTGCATTTGAGAAATGATTTGATTCCAACAACATGAGGGCATCTGGTATATTTTTGATGGCAAATTTCATTTGACCTCAGAGTGATCTCGCATGTGGAAGAATCAGGAGACATGGTTTGCTTCCCTTTTGCTTGTTTGCTGTAGTCTTCTTGCTCATCTCTTGCTGACCTGGGCAGCTCTGTGTCCCCTTGCTGCCTGATTTGCCTTCTAGGTTCCCAGTTCAAGTGTGGAGCTGTTTGGAATCTGCTATCATCACCGAGCTCTCTTATCTCTGTCGCTCTACAGTTCCCTGTGGTTAGTAACACCGAGACATTTAACCTGCCTATCACCTGTACTAATATTCTTACAGGGAACAGGTAGAGGAGGAAGCTTTCCCAGTTAGTCTGGTCCTTTCATGCCAGGTAATATATTCGTGTTTCCATTTACAGTGGCTTTTGGGAGCCAAAGCTCCTAATCCAGAAGGGATTCTGACACCTTGGATTTGGGGGAAAAAAAAAGAAAGAAAGAAAAGAAAAGATTACCTTTACAAACCCACAGGGGAAAAACCTGGTAGGACTATGGGATTATTTCTAGATGATTCTACTATATCATAGAGATAGCTGTCATTCAGCTTATATTCAGCCTCTGTACTTACAAGGATAATGCTACTTCTACAACCACTAGTATTATGGGTTTTTTTTTTTGCCATCGCCTTCTGAATATATATTACTTCTTTTAGTATCTGACTATTCACCTAACCTCCTTAGTAGCCAGGTATATTCCCAGAACCTGGCAAATGGGAGGTGCCTAATAAGTGTTTATTGAATTAATAGATGGGAGTTTGAAGCAAGCAACATGAATCAGAGCAAACAGGATGAAGTAGCGGGGGGAAAAGAGGAACTAGTTTTACCTTATTCTTCACAAAGACCAGGCTGACCCTCTGGCTGTGGTGATGGAAGAAAAGCATAGAAAGGTCCCAACTAAACAATCTCCTTAAACTAAACATTTCTACCCAGAGGGCTGGGATACTCTTTTTTTTTTAGAGCCAATGTCACTCTTCCCCAAAGGCCTTTTAATTTCAAATACACTAGGAATCAGTGTTAATTGCTCTTTTGAAATATCATTTTGTTAGCTTCATTTAGATGGGGTAATTTGCAAAGTAGCACCTAGCAGCTGACAGTTCATCCATAGCTGTGTGGTGTCCAGACGTTTCCTGGGATTTCTGCCCACCTCCTATGCAGCTGGCAGAATCTGCCAAACTAGGGTTTGTGCTCAACTGGAATTAACTTGGAACCAGCAAAGGTTTGTTGTGTCTGAGATTTTAAAAATACTGAAAGGGTGAAGACCCAGCCCCACTTAATCCAGAAAATAAAGGTGCAGTAACTTATAAATTAAGAATTAGCAGGTGCTGCTGCATGCCTGTAATCCCAGCAACCGGGGAGGCTGGGGCAGGAGGCAGTCTCAGTAATTTAGCAAGGCCTAAGCACCTCAGTGAGACCCTGTCTCTAAATAAAATATAAAAAGGGAGTGGGGATGTTGCTCAATGGTTAAGTGCCCCCTAGGTTCAATACTGATACCAAAAAAAAAAAAAAAAAAAAAAAAAAAAGAAGAAGAAGGAAAGAAAAGAATTAGCAGGTGCTTTAGGATCTCCTGATCCACACTGGGAGATCTGAGTCTGGAACCCAGGTCCTTAATTCTCTTTTTTTTAACCAGCATATTTCCTATGCTAATATTCTCATCAGAAACCCGTAGGTGGACAAGGATATTGCAGCTCCGACAGATTCAATGACAAGGTCAGCTGGCTGGTAGCTGGGAAGAGGTCAGAGTCTATATTTTTTTGTATGTGGCACCAAACAATAAGCTGGTGTCCTCTGGATGTACACTAGTACGGATGTAAGTGTTTCAATTACTGTTTGTTTCTCTCTGAAGCTCTTTTTCTCTGACCAGAGACTTCCTGACCCTCCTTCACACATGCTTCAAGGTCACAGCCCAGATCAAAATATTTACCAAAAAAAATAGGTACTTATAGAGAGGAATCTGTGCCAGCTCCTTCCCTATGCCCTGTCTCCAACCAAGCTCAGCAAACCGAAGAAGGGATAAAATGGTCTCTGGAACCAGGCATTTTTAGGTTTGGATGCCAACAGAAAAACAGATGAGTTCTGTCTGATTCTCCAGCAGGCTGAGCCTGCTGCTGCTGCCACCTCCTGGGAGAAGACAAACCTTAGCTTCATACCTGGAGCTAGCTGATTTTCACCTGTGACTTGGGCAAAGACTCCACTGGTGCAGGGCTGAAATTCCTGGGTCCTAGATAATACAAGGCATATCTCATTACTCCTCAATGAAAACATTGGTATTCTTTGTATTTCATTTGCCCTTTTTTGGTAATGTTATTCTTAAAGAAATGATTTCAGACAACAATAACAAAGTTTGATGAGTCAGTATAGGAATGGGGAGAGTACAGAAATAAGATTGAGGCAGAACTGTTAGTTTTAGGAATATATCAGATTCCTTTCTTGGCTTTCTGAACCTTGAATCCTGAGTGATGTTAGGAATGCATACAACTGAGAATTTTATAAAAGAGAGGGTACACATGAACTCAGTGAATCCAAACCTCCTAGAGACTTGGTTTACTTGTGAGGCTGTTGTGAGGGTTGAGATAGTTAATATGTATAAGTTCTTGGTATGTAAAAAATGCTCAGTGGGAATTATAATGGAACAAATTTACTCTTTCAATCTCCCTTGTGATTTTCATCATTTACTGACCAAAAAATTGGATCAACAGCCGCATGCCTTTAATTCTGCCTAGTCTTCGGATTTACAGATGATCCCTAATCAAACTCCCCTTATTTGTTTAAAAAAAAATTAAAAATAAGTGAGAAGCAATTCGGGAGATACTAAGAGATTCAATTCAGGAAAGACTTCTTGAGTATCTACTATGTGTTAGCCTTAGAGGATTCAAAGAGGAATAATGCAGATACAGACCTCCAAATTTCCCATCAGGTGCATTAGGAAAAAAAAAAAAAAAGGAGAATTAAGGACCTGGGTTCCAGACTCAGATCTACAAACAACTCAGTGTATAAATGACTTAGGCAAGACAGCTAACATATGGGTACTAGTTGCTTCATCTACTGAATAATACTATTGTCAAGGGCCATTTTTTTTTTCGTTTAAAGCAGAGTTTGCTCTGACCATTGCACATTGAATACTGTGTTGTACTTCATCTGTCCTAACCACCGAAAGCTGTTAAAGAAGCCATGAACTTTGAGTGATCCTGGTGAGTTACAGCAAGATCCTTAGGTCTGAAAATTTTTCTTTCCTGACTAATGAATTATGGGTCCAATTTTACCCATTCATGTACACAGCTCTGGATTTATTCCAGCATATTATTATTTGTTTTTTCTCCCCAATGCAATAGTATTAAGAATTGGTGATCTTAGGAGATAATTAGGCTATCAGGGCTCTTCCCTCATGAATGGGATGAGCACTGTTATAAAAGGGCTGGAGGGTACTAGCTAGGCTTCTCTTTTCCATCTCTTCCATCATGTGAGGACAAGCACTCCTCCTCTCCAGAGGATGTAGCAACAAGGTGCCAGCTTGGAAGCAGAGAGACTGGATCAGCACCAGACATTGAACCTGCTGGCATACTGATCTTGAACTGCCACCCTCTAGAACTGTGAGTTTCCAGAGCTGTGAGAAATAAATTTCTGTTCCTTATAAATTACCCGGTCTCAGGTATTTTGTCATGGCAGTATATGAATTGACTAAGAAGCATAACAGTTATGAGATACTTTTCTTAACAATGAAAAAACACTCTTTGCCCTCAGCCAACTGTATATTCCTTTGCCTGAAAATAAAAAATTCAGCTGTGTTTGTTTTGCTTTTTAATTCTAGTGGCCATTATTATTATTATTATTATTATCTGAAAATGTCTTACAGCCAAGTAGTACTTTATAGTTTGTAAAATCTCTTCCCATATATCATCTCATTTGAGAAGAAAAGTGATATGAACAAACAGAATGGGCTTTTTAACCAAAGAGATTCTGGCTCTATCCCTGAACAGCTATTGGATAAGTTACTATATCAGTCAGTGTCCCAGTCTCTGCCTGAAATTTTTAAATCATACAACCAGCTCTTTTTCATTGTACAGGTGTTAGCTCATATATTACCATCCTAGAGAAGCTTTCCTTTACCATCTGATCAAAATTACCCTAGTTGGGCTGGGGATGTGGCTCAAGCGGTAGTGCGCTCACCTGGCATGCGTGCGGCTCGGGTTAGATCCTCAGCACCACATACAGACAAAGATGTTGTGTCCTCTGAAAACTAAAAAAAAAAAAAAAAAAAAAAAAAAAAATTAAAAAATTCTCTCTAAAAAAAAATTACTCTGGTTTATCCTCCTTTTTAGCATTAAAAAATGAAAAATAAAATTATGTTGTTTGTTTATTAATTATATGTTGCACCACGAGAACTTAAGCTCCATGAAGGAACTCGACTGTTTACCCCTATCTTCCTAGCATCCAGGACAGGGTCTAGCATATCACAGGTTCCCAATTAGTCTTTCTTGCAGCAAAAGAAGGTGGACAGCAAAAACGCAAACACAGTTACTCTCACTGGGAAGTATTTAATATGAGAAGCCTACTAAGAAGGTCTGTGGGAGCTGATAAGATATCTGGGTTACTGGAGCCGTTGAATCACCATAACCTCTGTTGATCCCTTAAAAAAATGAGGTCCATTGATGATCCTCATGTTCTCTGTGAGAATATCAATATGTCCCCATCTTTGAAGTGAAAGGGAACTAGGGAGACTGTATAGCTTCTGTCGATTCCCAGGCCTTCCCTATGTGTCATTACCATACACTGCACCACCTATAGTCATGCTGCAAACACAGAAGAAAGATGTACCTCTAGGAGATCTCAAGGTATAGCTACTAGCAGCTTTCTACAGAGTTTGCAATTTTTGAGTCTTCAACTTTATCTTTACGATTATACAAATTTGAGCTCAGTATCAATACCTCTCTCTGGATTCAGGTTGACATAGGAATGTTTTAAATTATTTTACCATTTATGAAATTTGTGCTAGGAAAGACATGCTAGCTTGGGTCTTTATACTATGCCTGGCAGTCATACCACAGGGATACATATCTGCAGCCTGAGAAGTTTTGGCATTCTTTTCCCTTGGCGATACACAAGTCTCTAATTCATGTTTTCTTTTAGCACATTCATTCATTCTTCAACAAATATTTATTTAGTATCTACCTACCTGCATAGTGATATAAGATACAGCTGTGAACAGGATACCCACGAGAGTTATCTTTTATGGAGAATGGAAACTAAAGAAGAAATTAAGCATGTTTGTTAAGCTAAGGAAGCAGAACTCAGGATGGTATGGTAATGTACCTAATCTCAAAATAGGTGATGAGGAATATATATATATATATATATATATATTTTTTTTTTTTTTAAGAAAGAGTGAGAGAGAGTGAGAGAGAGAGAGAATTTTTTAATATTTTATTTTTTATTTTTTGGCAGACACAACATCTTTGTTTGTACGTGGTGCTGAGGATCGAACCCGGGCCGCACGCATGCCAGACGAGCGCGCTACCGCTTGAGCCACATCCCCAGCCCAGGAATATATATTTTTATATGGAGGCCTGGGATCCAACCCAGGGGTGCTTCATCACTTAGCCACATCTCCAGCCCTTTTTATTTTTTATTTTGAGACAAGATCTCATTAAGTTGCTGAGGCTGGCCTTGAACTCGTGATCCTCCTGTCTCAGCCTCTCTAGTCACTGGGATTACAGGAGTGTGTCACCAAGCCTAGTAAGGATAGATTTTTCAGAAGAAATAATCTGATTAATGAGTAGGAATTAGCTAGAAAAATGGTGGGAAATATTCCAGGACTGGAGGGAGAGATTTCATAGAACATACAGGCAACAATACAGCATGCTGGTTTAGTGTTGCTTGACAAGAGCGCTAAGGAGAAAGAAGAGACTTAAAGATTTTATAGATTTTAAAAAAGATTGCTCAGGAACCATAACTCTGTATCATGAAAAATAATAAGTTTACTTCCTAATGTTAAGGTAAGAGGTGGCACTGGCAAAATTTGGGCCCCAAATTAATTGGAGAGAGTCTACATCTTAATCTCATTCACTTTACATATTTCTTTTTCCCAGAGATAATCACAGATCATCTCTGGCACCAAACTCCTCTGGCCCTCTTCCACTGTCTCTCAGGCAGTTCCCTAATCAAAGTCACTGGGCTACAGTAATCCCTTAAGGATTAATGAACCAACATGGTGCAACATACAGAACACATGCCTATCAAAAGTTAATATATGTGACTGGGTGCAGTGATGCATGCTTGTAAACCCAGCTACTTGGGAGGCCTAGACAGGAGGATTGCAAATTTGAGGCCTGGCTCAGCAACTTGGGAAAAAAATAAAAGGTTATTATACATATGACCTTTCTTTCTACTTGGCATTTTTGATGTGGCATCCTAACGGAGGCCTCTATTAAAATTTTCTCCCTATGGAAAAGGAAGTCAAGACAGGACTGGAGGAGTTTGGACAGGTTAATGATAATAACAGAAAAAATACAATTATTGACTCACCTGGATATTCATGGAAAAACTCTTTGAGTTTCTGCATCCGTCAGGTGAAGATGATGATATATACTATCCAGGTTTTCAGGAGTCCAACCTCTTAGACAATTAGTAACACAGACTTTGGTAACTGTAGTAGCTAAGCCAAAGAATAAATATGCCTAATCCTGATAAACAGGTACTTGATAGGAGCATTATTTAAAGTTGCCAAATATTTAGACCAAGTGTTCCTTTTGTGCTAAGAACTTGGGATGGTGTCCTTATGGTTTTCACAGAACAAGGGCTGTGATTCCCTTTAAGAGGACAAGGTCTCTTTCTTGAACTTTTTGGTCTCTGAACTTTTGGGTTTAACATTCTTTCTGAATTAAAATAGACAGATTTACCAACTGGGAAAATGATGACACAGCATCCCAACTCCAGATTTTCCTAGTCTGTGGGTTAACGTTATTTATTCCTGAGCAAACCAAGACACAAGATTAGTAGGAGAGGGCTCACAAGAAATGTTTATAGTGAAGGGCATCACAGACTGAAAACGGATTAGGAGGGTAGATTAGCATTTCCTTTACCTGTCTCCATCTGACCTGGGTACACGGTGACAAAGACTCACCCCCTGCCCCCACGCCCCGCAGGACAACTCCAGAAGGAAAAAGACATAAGACATAAGTGATTGCATTCCAATTCTCTTCAGTGCTGTTTCCTTAAGGGATTTACAAACTGGCTAAAGAGGTGGTTTTCAAAGTCGCGAGGGCGTCCCTTTTCCAAACCGGTTTTCTCCTTTTACCTTACTGGTTCATGACTACCATTTCTTTCTTTTCATAAAAAGTCCTTTGCGTCACTCCTCTAACCGAAAATCCCCGCAAGGGCTCACACCCCAGGACCAGCTTCGATCAGCCATCAAGGCGCGGGGAGTGTGGGTAAACCCTAGGATGAGACCGCTGACCTGCGCGCCCCGGCCTCGGGTGTCGGAGGAGGCAATGCGGGACGCGGCCCCTTTAAGAGCAGGCCCCGCCCCCGCCCCGCCTCCCGGCGCGGTCGGCGGTCGGTGGCGGCCGCTACGGTGCTGACAAGATGGCGGCTGGTGGGGCTGTTGCTGCGGCGCCCGAGTGCCGGCTTCTGCCCTACGCGCTACACAAGTGGAGCTCCTTCTCCTCCACCTACCTTCCCGAGTAAGTGCCAGGCCCTGGGCTGGTGCTGTCCCGCTCGAGGGCGTATCTATGGCTGAGCCAGGGGTGCAATAAAGGGTAGTTAAGGCGAGAGGCCCAGGCGGGGCCTGTGAGGGGGACGCGCGGCCTTCGGAATCTCAGTCCAGCCGCCCAGAGCGCTGCCCGCCGCGGCCCCGGAAGAGGCCAGGGTCCGGGGAACGAGCTCGGGGTGGCGGCCAGGCGTGTGGCGGTCCGGGTCGGGCGCAGGGGACGCGGGAGCCCGGCGCTGCGCCGAGATTGGGGGGTCGAGGCTGCCGAGGTCTTGGGGCCGCGGCCCGGGGCCAGGGCTGGACTCCGGGGCTCTCGGGGGCCGGCCCGCGGGTGGACTGCTCCGGACGCGCGGAGTCGTCCCGGGCCGGCGGCCGGGGACCGTTCGGTCGTTTGCTGCCGGGACGTAGAGTAGACCTGAGGAGGTCACTAAAAGTGATTAGCTCAGGAGAAGTGGGCGAAGTCACCGGAGGCGGAGAAGTTGTGGACTCGGAATCCCCGCCAGGCGCGGGGAGAAGTTGTAGGACTAGCCAGAGGGTCTCTCTCTCTCTCTGTCTCTCTTTAGACTGGAAGTTCTGAAAAAGAGAGGGAGTGGGGAGGAGGGACCTTGCAGAAGAATCCCAGCACGTTAAGGCTTATTAGAAGATGAATGTGTAGAGACCCAGCACTTTCACCGCCCAGGAATTCAAATGTAAACACAGAAGTCTGGCTTACTGACCTCCATGAATTTGACTTTTAATAGCCACTAGTTCTGGAGCCCTGATTTAGGTGTTAAATTGACATCCCTTGTATCACTAGCCTAAATTTTTCTGTAGCAGATGTCTTCTTTTCCGTAACCAGTTCTGTCTTTAGCTTATCTTTGGGAGGAGCGGATCTAACTCTAATTCTACATGCAGATGGAGAATCGGCCTAGTAAGGCTTAAGATCTCTGCACATCTTGAAGAAAAGTGCTGGTGATATCCCGTGGACCGTCACCTCACATGCCCAGAGATGGTTTTTTGAACAAAACAAGTAATTAATAATACGTTACTAAACAAATAGAAGGACGGGATCTGTGAAACATACTCACAAAGTTTTCTACTTATATATTTCAAAAATTCTTCACATATCCCTTAATTTGATTTCTCTAGTCAGGTGGGTCAAGAATTTCAAAAGGAAGGTGTACCTAGAAGAATGTAATTCTCTTGACTGCCAGTCCATCCTCTTGTCAAGAGTTGGCAGTTAGGCATTCAGAAGGATCTGCCTCAGTGGAAGATGCCAAGTGACTTGTGGTCTTATCTGGCCTGTGTTACCTATTGGTGGCTGCTGCATGGCAGTGTCCCTGATTGATGCTAGAACCCAGCTTTCAGTTTGAGGGTGAGCCAGATAAACACTCTAACCCTCAGCTGAAGTTGAAATGTGTCCATAGGTACTTGACCTCTGATTTTCTGGGCCAACTTGTTTTTGCATCAGCATTTTCTATATTCAAGTTAGGATCACAGACATTTGGGGATTGGGTGGCATTGTTTGATCTAACACCGGTAAAGATGTTTTTCTGGCCTCAGGTAGGATAATTTTAGAATCTCGTTCCTTTAAATGTCTGGTCTCAGATAACTTCTTTTCTAAACATAACTTTTTTCTAAAAATGTCTACATAACAGATAACTCAATTTATGAAGTTATCTGTTATGTAGACATTTTTAGAGTACATTTTAAACAGCAAATGATTTGGTGAATGGCAACTTTAATCTGACTTCTGTCTTGTTATTCTGGCTTTTGATTTGAAGTGTTCAGAAACTAGTTTTAGAGAAGGCAACTGTTTGAAATTGGAGGAATCTATCAGTATAATTTTCTCAAGTATATTGATATATTTAATACACACACACACACACATATATATATATAAAACTTGAAAATATTCTCATATACTGTGCTTTATTTAATCTTGATGATATTCTGTTGGTAGATATGGTGTAGTTTTTATTGTAAAGCAGTAAACTATTTTAACTGAAAAAAAATAAACTGTTACAATTGAAGAGTAATCTGAACTTTTTTTTCTTTGAAGGAGCATTAGTTGAGTTTTATGGATCTTGAATTTGAGCTTTTTGTGTCTGCTCTGTTGGTGTGTGCCATGCCTAAATTGTAACGCTCTTGGTTCTGAACTTCTGTTAGAAACTAAGAATGGTATACTTTATATGATAGAAAGTGGATGAAAGGATTTGACTTTCCATTGCCCTAAAATTCCCTCTAAGGACAATTGCTGTATCTTTACTGGCAGTGGAAGTCATCTTAAGGACCTTCCTAAATAGGTCTCATTTTAGGTGTAGCCATTTGTTGAAATTGTTCAACAAAGTAGCAAACTTTTTTTTTCCCCTATGAATTTGGGTTTTGGGTGTGTGTGTGTGTGTGTGTGTGTGACAATAATATGACAATGACAAAATGGTAAACACTTATAATATACCTTTCATAAACTCTGAACATACTAGGTATTTTAACTCGTTTGATCCTTGGGAGGTTAAAACTTGCCTGAGTTCGTATATCTCAGTGAAATAAGGATATGAATCAGGCAGTGTGGCTCCACAGTTGATGGTCTTAACCATGGTGCTTTACTGCTTCTGCACAAAGGTAGTGAAATCAGATATTTGAAAGAATTCTTATATTGAAGTCACTTGCATTTAATGGTAAAGACATGAGAAATTGTGAAAAACAATTCCTATCTCTATTTCTTTATTAGGATTTAGAATTTCCTTCCTTCTCTCATAGGTGGAAAGAACAAACATTTTCTATTTTAACTCTTTAGACTTACTTGGATCTTAAAAACGTTAAAGCTTGGGGCTGGGGATGTGGCTCAAGCGGTAGTGTACTCGCCTGGCATGCGTGCGGCCTGGGTTCGATCCTCAGCACCACATACAAACAAAGATGTTGTGTCTGCCAAATACTAAAAAATAAATATTAAAATTCTCTCTTTCTCTCTCTCTCACTCTCTCTTTAAAAAAAAAAAAAGTTAAAGCTTGTTTAGTTACAGATAGCACACTTGTACTTTGAAAGTAATGAAATAGCGTTTTATTTTTTAGTATGCTTGAGTTTCCCTATATTTTACTCTTTTTTTTCCTGAAATTTATACCTAATTTGGGAATTAAGAAATATACATTTATTTAAATGATAATTCATAGAATTAAATATCACATGATTTCCCATTGTGTATTTGTGAATGGCTGGTTTCTGAGATTGTTGCTTGTTAAGAGGTTTTGAGGTCAGATAAGTTTCTGAGAAGTCTAGCAGTATAAAAATATCTTAATATGGAGGACTTTCTCCCTTCCTTCCTCCCCCCACCCTGCTTTGATAAGTAATAGCTTTTAACATCAGTGCACTTTGGGAAGATCTTTCTCTTAAAAAATTCTTGTGTGAGCTAAGTATGGTGGTGCACACCTGTAATCCCAGCTACTCAAGAGGCTGAGGCAGGAGGATCACAAGTTTGAAGGCCAGCCTGGGCAACTTAGTGAGACCCTGTCTCAAAGAGGGCTGGGGATATAACTCAGTGTTAGAGCGTCCCTGGGTTCAATCTCCAGAAACTCCCCAAAAAGTTTTGTGTGAGGCTGGGGATGCAGCTCAGGGTAGAGCAATTGCCAATATGTCCCAAGATGTTCAGAGCCCTGAGTTTAATCTTGTGGGGGTGGGGGGAGAGCTGGAGGAGGGAAATTTTTTTGTTGAGAAAATAGCTGTTAGGCTTGTTGCTGCTTCTTGGAATGTATGTGACTTGACTGTGCAATTGTAAGACTTTGTCTTTGGGTTTTAGCTTAAGCTTTATGACGATGTACCTATATATTTCTTTGTATTTGCTCTTTTTGGGGTTTCTGGCACCTCTTGGAGTCAGTGATAAGACTCTCATCACTTTTGAAAAAAATCTTGACATTTCATAAAATATTGCTTCTCTTCTATTTTTTCCTCCTTTACTCTATGATTCCCAATTAAATCAGTATTATACTTTCTGTCCTGTCCTATATGTCTCATGTTTTTTTTCTGTAATTTTTTTCTCTTCTTGTTCCATCTGGATAAGTTTTGCTTGCCTGTGTTTCATTTATTTTTATTTTTATTTTTGTGGTGCTGAGAATTGAGCCCATGGCCTTGTGCATTCGAGGCAAGCATTTTTCCAACTTATCTATATCCCCAGCCCCCTGTGTTTTTTAAAATTTATTTATTCTAATTTGTTATAAAAGACAGCAGAATGCATTTTGATTCATAGTACACAAATGGAGCACAGTTTTTCACTTCTCTGTTGTACACAGAGTAGAGTCACACCATTCATGTCTTCATACCTAGGATACCTAGGATAATGATGTCCATCTCATCCCACCATCTTTCCTGCCCCTATTCCCCCTCCTTTCCCCTCCCTCCTCTTTGCCCTATCCAGAATTCTTCCATTATTTGCCTGTGTTTTAGTTCACTAATTCTCTATTTCAACTCTGTCCAACCTGCTTTCAATTCTTGTTTCTTAATTCCAATTATACTACTATTTAGTTCTTTAATTTTTATTTGATTGTATGTAAATAGCACATGTACTGAGAGCCTTAACTGTGTTTGTATCTGTAGATACTCCAGTCTCATTTTCTATAGCATTGCTCAATGTAGTATTCTGAAATAATAAAGATATATTTAACCCCCCCATCTCTACATGACCATCTTTCATGAACATATTAATCAAATCACTTTAAAGTCTGTCTGAAGACTCCAGAGTCTGGACCACCTGCAGGCCTATTTCCATCATCTTTTTTTCTTTTGTTTTTGTGTCTGTTATGCCAAGCAGTAGTTTACT